GCATTTTACATACGCCCGTATGTTTTTTCAAAGCCAGTTTTGTTCAGTGAAATGCAAACCCAGAGCGTCTACTGAAAAATATACGGGCCTATGTAAAATGCTCCGATCTCTCTTGCTGAGAGGTATTGAAATTTGGCCACAAACTTTTTAGGACAGAGTTGATTTTGGAATTCATTTTTAGAAGATAAATTTGGTCCTAATACATATGAGCTGAAATATTTTAAGCTTGTGAATAATTTAGGGCTCCCTGGAATTTAGGTCAAGATGTGACCTTAGCTAACCCGTGGAATCTGCAGTGTTTCTACCACAATCCGCTACTGCCGCGTGGTCCCTGGGCGTTCAGAGTTGTATTTATTAACCTCCCTTTTAAGAATGGGTGGGAGGGCGAGTGCGAGTGGTGAGGCACAGATACTTCTTGCTCACTCCCCCATGGGGTGCGGAGGAACGTGGGGGGACAGGACGGACGGGGAAGTGAGTCCCAGGTCAGTTTCCCCATGTGGGCATAGGAGGGAGGGTGCAGGACTTAGGATCACAGAATCACAGTGCAGCACCAAATAAGTGTGGCAATACACCTCTTTCACTACAAATTAAACACTGGGGGGACGCAGTGGGGCCCTTGGGGGTGGGGAACCTGTGGAGATGGGGGAGTGGGGACCCTGCGGGGGCCAGGGGCAATGGGGGCAGCAGGGGCACCAAAATACAAGTTTTCCCAGGGCTCCATTTCCCCTAAGACCGGCCCTGGTTGAGCTGGTGGCAAAAGGCAAAATCCCGGGTACCCCTTTGGGTACCAAAAGTGACCGCTGATGGGCTGAGCCTTGGTTGCCAAAATTGGGTGGGGGCAAAGGGGCCTTTTCTATTCCCCCCCCCCCTCGCAGGACTGGATGTCTCAACCCCCGCGACCCAGGACCATGTCCCGAAAGGCACCAGGCATCCCCATGCCTAGGCCAGTTTTAATTTGCGGACCCCTAAAAAATTTTTTGAATGGAGGTGCAGACCCCTTTGGAAACCTTAGACTTCATCGGCAGATCCCCTGCAGATCACAGTTTGAAAGCCATGGTAACGACAACCTTTCCTGGACCCCTTGAAGGACCTTCCTGGACCCTTAGTCTTCAGACCTCCAGGACAAGGCAGCTCTTCCCTATCTAAGGCCGGGTCTACTCGTCAAAACGTCTTCACTAAAGGGTTGCGTCTTTGTCTACTCCAGAAGGCCGCTTCTGGTGAAGGAAGCCGCTGGCTCCAAGAACATAATGATTCCACCTCCACAAGAGACGCCCAAACTCTCAAAACCGATTTAACCCTCCCCCCCCCTTTTTTTTGAGAAACCGTACCAAAACGATCACAAGAGTCTTTAATCTGAAAATGCATCCTGAAGGAAATATCTATGCCTAAAAAAGAACATCCTAATGGCTGAGATGTATGAACCAGGACTGTTACAGAGCCTTTCACGATAGCAGCCCTGTTACGCAAGGGAGTTGAAATAATACATCTTTCCGTAAACTCACTCTTTCAGAAGAGGAGATGTGAGATATGTCGATGAATAGCTATTGCACGAGTTTAATGCTAAATTAAAAATTGTTACTGACGTTGCAGCACTTGCAGGCTGTCGTGTTAACAACCTGTCTAGTTAAAGTTCTTAAACGTTTACATAAGAGACATTTTTTAAAATGTGTAAATGTGTGTTTACGTGCTACAGTGTAACTGTTCAGTGTATAACATGCTCTTCTATCCATTCTTTACGTGGATTTTCCTCTATAAAAAAATAGAGAAAATAACATGTTTAAAACATCGTAAAACTCACGACAATACTTAACTCTTGGTTTTGCAGAGGTCTCAGGTCAGGGTGGGACAAGCCCTATCATACGTGCTGCAAAAGTTAAGGATAATAGGTCCAGTTTAAGAGAAGAGTGCGGATAAGGGAAGAAGGGTGAATGTTGATTTTAAATTGTGCGTTTCCATTCTAGATGTTGATTGTAATGCTGAAATTGGAGAAAGGCCAGAGAAGAGAAACAAAAATGATTAAAGATGTAGAAAACATGACCTGTGAGGGCAGGTTGGAAAAAAAAAGTTGGGTTTGTTTAGTCTGGAGAAGAGAAGACTGGTGGGTACAGGGCCGGCTCCAGGCACCAGCCGACCAAGCACATGCTTGGGGCAGCACCTTAGAAGGGGCGGCCAATGTTGGGGTGGTGGGGGGCGCTCACGGTGTTTTTGTTTTTGTTTTTTTTGTTCAGCCGGGCGGCGCTTGAGGTTTTTTGTTTGTTTTTTGTTTTTGTTTGTTTCGGCCGGGCAGCGCGGGGGGTGTTTTGGCAGGGCGGCGCTGGGGGGGGGGGCTTTGGCGGTGTGGCTCGGCGCTCCGGGGGTTTGGGCGGTGCGGCGCTCGGGGGGGCAGGGGTTTGAGTGGCCCCGTGCTCCAGGGGTTTGGGCGGCCCAGTGAGGCGAGGCGCTCGGGGGGTTGGCCGGTGTGACGCTCGGGGGGGGAGGG